TGTCCAGGCTGCCTCTTTTTTTAGCTATTTTCATAAATACATTATTTAACCTACACTTGTCCTTTAAATATTAGGAGTCTGAAGAACAGGTCTTTTACAAGGGGAGGCTGAGGGATCTGGGCCTGTTCAGCCTGGAGAAGAGGAGGCTGAGGGGAGACCTCATTGCTCTCTACAACTACCTGACAGAAGGTTGTAGTGAGGTGGGTGTTGGCCTCTTCTTTCTAGTGACTGGTGATTGGACAAGAAGAAAATGGGTCAAGTAATGCCAGGGGGGGTTCAGGCTGGATATTAGAAAAAAATTTCTTCACAGAAAGAGCGGTGAGGCATTGGAATAGGCTTCCCAGGGAGGTGGTAGAGGCACCAGCACTGGAGATGTTAAAAAAAAGGGTGGACATGGTTCTTCAGGAGATAGTTTAGTGGTCAGGGGAATGTAGGATGGATGGTTGGACTTGGTGATCTTCAAGGTCTTTTCCAGCCTTAGTGATTCTATTATTGTGTCATCATTTATGTTCAGTTTAAACCAGCTTTTAAAACAAAAATATTTGTAATGACATTTTTTGCTATTGCTACCTGCTTCTATTTATTAGTATGTGTATTCCATTTAATATAATGTGATTTATCTCTTCCCTCAACTTCATTTAGGCAGTAATTCTCTGTAGTTATTTATGACTGGACTTCAGGCTTTTTTCAAGCACTTTAAGACCCTTTTTGTTTTCTTCTCTTGAAGTAGCATGAAAGGGACTTAAGTAAAAATCCAGTATATCTACAGAGAGCCAGAGTAATTACCTTAAGAAGATAAGATTCAATGGTGCTGTCAGAAAAGGAAATCTCCCCTCTTCCCCCAGCCCCGGGGACAGCAAGACAAATGAACAAGATCATGGACCTAAACAGGAGATCAGAAGTTTTGTTTTGACTCTGACTATATTGATCTGGGTTATCCCTGGGATTCTCAGATAGACACCACTGGTGTTATGTCCCCTGCTCACTATCCACAATGGCTTTTCTGCCCAGTAGAGGTAGGATCAGAATACAAACAAATAAACTGTTCATCTAAGCTATTGCAGTGTTATATACAGAAAGTGATTTCTGCTATCCAGACTATTGTGTTAGATTCAAGATTGTAACTTTTCGAGGAAAGTCTGTCAAACATAGAGGATTCATCAGTATTAAAGTAATAATGAACTATTTTGTCCAATCTAAACTAGCAGCAATATTTCATACCTCTGTGAAAAAACATTAAGTATACTATGACATTTGGGATATGAGTTCATGGGTGATACATTAGAAAAAGGTGATAATAGCAAAATAATTATTTATCTTCGATGTCTATTTTTAGGTACACTTTTTCCTGAAAGGTTCTATAGCTTCCCAAATGAATACGTTTCTGTAGCATGCTGCACATTCATTTTAATTTCTGAGACAGATATTAATGAATTTATTCATGAGAACATTACGTGTCAGTTCTGCAGACAGAGACATAACTATGCAACAATGTTGTGGCTATCATGATCAAGTATCACCTCAGAAAACTCCTTTCAGTACTGATATTTATCCTGTGTTTCAGCTGTGGATAATCAATTGTAAATACCAGACTGGAATCAACTTTTCTGATGTTTTTTGAAGCAATCCCAAAAAATAGATGTTGGCCAGAGAATGGATTGAGAACACCCCTGAGGAGAAGGACTTGGGGGTGCTGGTTGTGAAAAGCTCAACATGAACCAGCAATGTGTGCTTGCAGCCCAGAAAGGCAAGCACATCCTGAGCTGCAGCAAAAGAAGTGTGGCCAGCAAGTCAAGGGAGGTGATTCTGCCTCTCTGCTCGGCTCTTGTAGGACCCCACCATGCAGTGCTGTATCCAACTCTGGAGCCCCTAACACAGGAAGGACATGGAGCTGTTGCAACAAGTCCAGAGGAGGGACACAAGGATGATCAAAGGGCTGGAGCACCTCTCCTATGAAGACAGGCTGAGAGAGTTTGGGTTGTTCAGCCTGGAGAAGAGAAGGCACCAGGGAGACCTTATAGTGGCCTTCCAGTACTTGAAGGGGCTGCAGGCATGCTGGAGAGGGACTTTTTACAAGGGCTTGTAATAATAGGATGAAGGGCAACAGTTTCAAGCTGTTTCAAGCTGAAAGAGGATAGATTTAGATTAGATCTTTGAAATTCTTTAGTGTGAGGGTGGTGAGACACTGTAACTGGTTGCCCAGAGAAGCTGTGGGTGTCTCAGCCCAAGAAGTGTTCCAGGTCAGATTGGATGGGGCTTGGAGCAACCTGGTCTAGTGGGAGGTGTCCCTACCCATGGCAGGGGGCTTGGAGCTAGATATCTCTAAGGTCCCAACCCAAACCATTTTATGATTCTACTGCCAGTGCCCTACTACTTGTGTGATGCTGTTGTAGGACAAAGTTACAAATTAAAAATTCCTTTGAAAGGTGACTGGTCACAAAATCAGTAACTCAGAATTTAATAAATGCCAAACTGATGCTTCCAGTATGGCCTTTACTCTGTCCCATGTAGGCACATGATAAAATAGCAATCTTAGAGAAAAGTAGGACCTCTAGGTCTTCCTACAGCCAGTAGCATAATGCAGGAAACATTAGAATCATCTTCCTACAGTCACGTGGTATTCCTGGGTACTCCTAAATTCCTTAATGATTATTTTTGCCACTAATATTCATGTGCCACCTGTTATTTATATGTGTTTCTACTGTTTTTTTCAAGGGAAAGCAAATTTCATTATAGCAGACAATTTCAGGGAACCTACTGTCAGTGCTGAGACTTTTGCACTTGTGCCCCCTTCTGGTCCTTGTGAATGAGCTTCCACACGCCCGGGACCATGAAGTGACAGCGCTTCCTCTCGACCAGGCGCAACTAACTGTGCAGGTGTGTCATCTGCTTGGTACCACACAGCACTGGTTTCAGTTCTTTGCTTTTGAAACACGAGAATAGTGATACATAACTCTGAATGCCCTATTAACAGTGCATTGTATCAACATTAGAGAAAATAAGGCATCATCCAGAATATATTATTTCAAATATTATATTGTTTCTTAAAAGCATTCTTGTTCTGAGGACACACACAGCCTAACATACCACCACGGGAGACACTGTAAAGTTGTCCTCTGGGTGAGAACCCATGCTGTGAGGGATGAGCCTGTGCCAGCTCCATACAACATCTACACTCCATCCCATTATTGCTGGTTCAGATGCAGAAAATGAGGTGAAGGTGGGAATCTGGTGTTCTGGCTTGCAGTCAGTCCAGGGCAAATCTGGAAGTTGCCCAGTGCACACACTGGGTCCTATCCACAGGCTTCCCAGACCTTTCCCATCTCGTTCTTTTAATCCTGGAGACAGATCCACTGGTTCTTTCTGCACTTTCCATCTAACTTCTAAGCATGATCTGGTAACTGCTCTACAGTCCATGAGACACTTGCAGCCTGCCCCAGAATATAAAAGGTCTCCCTGTTGCATCCAGTGGGCTGGGAGAGAAGGGAAGAAGCCACAGATTTAGAGGAATTTCCAAAGGGCAGAAAGTACAGAGAACAGACAGACATTGTTTTAAATGCAAAAGACATTTTCTGTTGTCAGATGCAAGCAAACTGCATTGCTGTCACATAGAGAGTTTGTTGGCAAGAAGCTACTTGGCCCAGGTTTAAAAGCATTCCAGGGATACTTACTGCCTTGGGAGATCAGAAACACAAGAAAAAACATTTACATACGAACTGATGCTGCTTATCATGACCAGCTTGAATTAAGGCAGAGAAACAGCAGGTACTTGCAGACCTGCACAGGTGCTTTTGGATTGAATGTGCCTATTGGCCATCTCTTGATTACATTCTTGGCATGACTATTCAGAGAATGACAACAACATAAGTGTGAGCCTTCCTAAGTGATATCTAGGGTGTGTTGGATGGATACCAGGCACGTGTGGAGGAAACATCATTTGGCTCTGCAGGTTTCCAGGAGCCAAGTTGCCTCAAAAGGCCCAGAGAAACTAACATGTAACAATAGCAGCAGGATGCACCTGTTTGTGCAGTAAACAAATATGAAGGTCCTTACCTCTTTCTGCTCTAATACCCAGGCCATCAGTCCATTTTAAAAACTTAATAAGAACATATCCAAGAAGATAAAACTGGAAGGAATGTAGCCATTCTACATGAGTAGAAGACAAGCAGAACTTTAAAACAAAAAAACAAAACACGTTTTCCAGTGATCAGCGTTCACATGGGACCTCTCCATTTGCTCTTGCACTTCAGCATTCCTATATCCTTTTCCCCTTCACTTGTCCAAACCAATGTGAGCACCATTTTCCCTAGATGCCCACTGTCAGTTGCAAGCTCCTTCATCCTCCACAGGTGTAGCCATCTCCCCAGACTTACCAGGGAGCTGGTGAAGGGACGGCTCTGTTAGGGAAGAGTTGTGTGAATGCTAGCAGCCAGAGTGGGCCATCATAGAGATCCCACTAATTTTGAGCATGTCAGATCTCTCTCCTTTTCCACACATTCACCCACATCTCAATCCCTTAGCTGTACTTACATACATTTATATTTAAACCCCTCCCTGCTATTTCAGTTTCATCCCTTTTCTCCCACTGCATGAACCCATTTAGGTTTCTTTGAAATTAAAAAGCATATGAAAAGTTGATCATCACTGTCTGATCCCATCTGCTTCTGCATATACATACCACAAGCAGAAGTCTTCTTGTGTCATGTTCCTGCTGAACGTTTCCTCAGTTATGTCCCAAACCCCACACTAATTGGCTTCTACACCTACACTTACTCCTCTCCCTGCCTCCATTCTGTTTTTATCTTAATCACTCTCCTTCATCTTTTTTCCTGTAACCTCAAGCCAATTTGAGGTGTACCTTCATTTTGTATTTCAGAAGTTTACATTATTTTGAACTCAGCATCCCTCTTTTCCCAGCCCTGCACTCAAAGAGGAGGTGAGAAGGACTCAGGCACATCAGTGACTTCCTCATTAGAGAGCAGCAGGACTGGGACCCCTCCATGAGGGAAGGTGAGCCTGGAGCTGGGGATGACAATATCACACAGCAGGACATCATCCCATGGTGTTCAAGCAAGACAAGCAGAGCAGGGCTGGGGATGGTAATGTTTTTTTTCAGCAAAACAAAGTGACAAGTCAGGCCCAAGTCAAGCCAGTTGCCAAGCCAGTGTCATGGCTGGCCACAGGACCTCCTGCAGCACAGCTCAGGCCAGGAGTGAGTGGGTGCTCCAGCCTTGTGGGAATCCTGGGGCAAGTAGGGCTTATGAATGCACACAGGGCCCTGGCCCTCTGCTCTCAGATCTGCTCTGCTGTGCCCTGCATAGCGACTGTGCTTGTTCGGGAGATCAAACTGGGCATGTCTCCAGGAATTATGACCAGAAGTAAATGTTTTGGCATCTCCAAATAACTTCCTTAAAATATTGTTGAATGGTAATTGGAGGAAAGGAGACTATAAGCAAATAGAATCACAGAATCGTCATGGTTAGAATTAGAATAGATTTATCCTGCCCTAGTACATCCACAGATCTAGTAAGTGTCTGCATTCCCAGACCCCCCTAACCTCTGGCAGAGAGACAGGCATGCTTTCCATTTTCTTCCCTTTCACTCACACTCCTGGTTATAGCCACATTTAAGGATAATCCGTAGATGTTCCTTGTTGTCTCAGCTCATATGTTTGGACCCAGTGCCCAGAGTCAGCTTTGTCTACACTTGCCATCCTCTTTGACAACCTCAGAAATATTTGATGAGGCATATTTCTTCCCAGTGTTTGCTTCCTCCTTTATTACACTGAAACAACATGCTAACAGAGTATACATCTTTCATAATGATCAAACACAGAGAATATATTTAAAGGTTTAGAGCAGTCCTAAATCCATCACAACTCTCCCCTCCACCACGTTGCATGCTGCCAGAATTTTCTTTTTAAAAAAAATTGTAAGACATGGAAGAAAAACAGTGATTCTCTTCTTCCTTCTCAATGAACATAACCTCTATGTCCAACCTACTCCCCTTAATAGCTTCCCAAATGCTTTTGTAAAAGCAATCCTGAGCAAAGAAACCATCCAAGAACACAAGCTAAAAAATACATGCAGAAATCATAAAGTAACCAACAAAAATATTTGCCTAATAAAACATTTCAATTATGCCAAACTATTATATATCTTCTGCTTTTAGCTCTCTGTTCTGTAGCTGTATTCTGAGACTGCCTATTGAGCTTTCTCACAAGTGTTAGGAGAATTACCCTTGGAGTTGACAGTGACTTGCAGGACTGCCATTAGCAGCTTAATATAGGGTGCCAGGGATATTGGCTACTGTAAAATACTAATGCTGCTGCAACCTGTGACAAAGCTGTTTTAAGGCTTGCAGTGTGGCAGACTGCAATTGCATCCAGCTTTTTTACTCTGTTCAGTGTTGGATTCTGCTGTACATAATTGGGAAGAAGAAATTATTTGGTATCATACCTGAAGGACTGCAAAATAGCACAGCACTCTGGATGAGAAATGCAGGAATGCTGCACAGAAAAAATCTGACAGATGGCTTTGCAGGCAAACTGTGATACTGCAGGTGAAAGTTTGATCAAGCTGCTGCTGCTAATGCTGTTACATCCACCTGACAGAACCTCAGGGAGCTGGCAGCAGAAAACCAGGTTGTCAAAGTAGGAAGGTGCTTGTGGGAAAGTCACTGCACTGCAGTGGCTGCACAGGTTGTCCCATCCCCTGAAATGGCCAGGCAGCTGTGCCAGCCTTCAGCTCGTTTTACAACTAACCTCTGAGCTTTTCGTTGCAGTTGTTTAGGTCCCATGTGGAATATGATAAAAGGAAGTACATGTGTGCTCATTTAACGCGTTATTTGGGTCAAAAAAACTATCGTTGCACTTCTGTGCAGGCAGGAATCTGACAAGAAAGGAGAGCATCGCCTGCAGGAATTTCAAAGAAAATCGAAACCAGAGACAGTTCATTGCTATGAAAGCCACTGGTTTTGAGAAAGTGCAAGTTGCCGACCTTGCGGAGATGACACTGGTCGTACCTCCCCGGGGGGCACACGGCCGCCCCGGGCAGACAGGTTCGCCTCCTTCATTTCTTCCTCTCC